AAAACAGTAGAACTTCAGCCGAGAGACTAGTGCAGCTGCTCCACCAGTCCCGAGACTAGAAACTGCATGACAGTTTGCAGCTTCACCTACTCTGCAGTATAACAGCAGTCACCCTCAGATGGCAATCTACTTGAGTGTATATACACAGCTCAAATTTCAGCTACTAAAAGTTCCTAGTTCTGCAAAGCTATGGTAAACTTGTTAAGACAAATAGTTCAAACAATAACTCAATAAACACCTGTGGATTTGGAGTTGTGTTGCTTTTCAAACCATAAACTGAATAGAATGCAACTACATGACTGGAGATCTATGGAATAGTTTTCAACTATTATAAAACTAACAATGGAAGTGTTTTGACACTTATCTCACCATCGTCGTGATAAGCTCTCTCCCACTGCTATCCTCTAACAAAAATCTCCATTCTCCTGTAGAATCCACTTACATTCAAAAGACAGGGACAGTTATATACCTGGGATTATAAAACTCCAGAACCACAACTGGCTCCATGACTTGCATCTTGACTATTTTGAAATAATTAATTCCCAAACTCTTTACTAAGCTGCAGTCTAGCATCAATTAACTTAAGAGGAGAAAAGCATCTTCTACACAATGGCACCATAACATTAAATACCAAAATTACACAAACAGTAATGAGAATTTAATTAATCTGTACTCAGATAACCCTTCCTTCTTCCCACCATTTCTACAAAAACTCACGTAGCTAGTGCAAAGCTCAGATTCCTACTTCGCAATACAAAGTACTTCCCAGTAGCTCATGAAGAGACACACAAATACTGATTTACACTGAGAAATATTGACAATGAACTACAGGCTACTGGAGTATGAAAATCCCACCCAATGTCTGACAATTGAGAACACATGTTCAAAAAAATATTTTTAAACCACATTTTTAATACAACTTACTTGAAGTTTTGCTAGCTGAGCTGTGCGAGACACTATTTTGTTGTAGGGGTCAACAATTTTGACTCTAATTCTAAAAATAAGAAGATAAATTTATTTATAGCAGTATTAATAAATAACATGATAGAACAATTAAGAATTTATACTTTGTGACTGCAGAATGAATGGCATACCTATCAACAGTACTTTGTAGAGCACCAATTCTAGTCTGCATCATTTGGAGGACACCTGAAAAATAAAGCAGATTTTTTACATGGAACACTTGTCAATTAGACAAGTAAAAAAGAACTAGTCAAGATTAGTCAAAAGAACTATTCTTCAAATCATAGTAATTACTGCAGACTACTTTAGCATTAAAAAAAAAGTTTCCCCCTTTATAACAAAGCACTCAAACAGATTGAAATTAATTGAACACAGAATATTTGGAAATAAACTGAGCAGGTAATAGGTCACTTACCGAATGTTACGGAAAATGTACTGGTAGAGAACACAAACCTACAGAAGAAATATCACTCCGAAATTCATCATATATTAAGTTTTAAATAATATTTAGACCATGTTGCTTTCTGAGAGAATGACAATCAGGACTGCCGTTCAAAGGCATATAACCTGCTACAAACACCTGAATATGATATACAAAAATGGCACAACCTATTTAACACTACTTATTTAACATATTGACTAGACAGCTCAGGGAAACCAACAAAGAAGACTGAGAAGATAACAAATTGTATATCAAGGATTTCTTCCTGTGCATAAGCATCTTTAGCAAAAAGTAAGGTATCAATGTCATTGTGAGGTCATCTAATTTAGATTACAAACTGAGCAAACTACCCTAATCATGTTTGTTCAAGATTAGTTTGGCAAAGCAGCACAAAGAAAGCCCACAAGCATGCTTGTTCTTTGCTTGTTAAATTGCAAACAAAGTAGTGAAGGGTAGCAGTCATTTTTGCAATATGGAATCAGCCTGCTGAGAATTAAATTAAGTTACGCAAACCCAGGCCTATGAAATCATTTTTATTCCAGTTATCATTAGCTTTCTCAAACATACTACATTTTTGTAAAGCCCTGTTTACCAGCATGTGATCATTAAACTGGATAAAACTGCAATATGACACAGTAAGATGGAAGATAAACATAACTACTGTTAATAGTTTTATTCAGCTTGTCCCGTACTGGGACTATACCTCAGGTATTTTGTATAAATATGCCAACTCCCATCTTCTCCATATCTCAGAATTATTAACTTGGCTTAGTGACAGACTCAGGAGTTCTCTGACATTTATGCATGCAATGGTAGGCATGCAATTCTCACACGTCAGAGGATGAAGATATGAGATACAGTGAAAAGTTGCCAAAACAGGCTGAATATGCTACTCTACATTGCAATAATGGGGGAGGGCCAGCAGCATGACATTGCTGCATCTATGACTGTGACATCGCTATAAAGCATACAGCAGTCCTCTTGCCAGAAGGCAGAATTAGGATGGGCGAAAAGGCAATCTACCCTCTCCATCTGCTGCGCAAGATACGGGATGATACTATAGCCTGTTTAGGTAGCTCAAGATATCCATTGAGCTACCTATAGACATAAAAGGGTATGTATACCAGGTCAGTGTACCATTAAAAAGTGCATACACCTAAAAAAGAAAGGACTCTACAAGCTGAGTATATCAATTTGAAACGTTTAATGAGATCCACATATCCAAATGACTGTATATGTTGTGAATTAGTTCCATAATCTTCACTTAGCTAACTTTCTTGACAAACATACCAAGAGCTATATGCTTCTAATTCATAATTAAAATTTCTATTGATATCCATCTTTTCTTTTTCTTATGAATCTTGACCCAGTGTTTCTGCTACAGTGACCATATATCACATGTAGCACAAGCAGGGCAGAGATAACAAAGTTTTGCAAAACTTAAAAGATCATCTTTGTGTGCACAGACTTTTGATTTTCCTGGCAACTGCAGACTGAAATTTCTGCTGATGTCTCAAGTATCAAATACTTTTCAGGATTAGAACCTCTGCACGTTTCTTCCCTCACACACAGAAAAGGCCTCTTAAAGAGCATAACTCTAAGTAAATGGAGAAATTTCAACAAATTTGAGGTGAATTACATTTTATTTTTACTTTGGGTTATCAGCTGTAAAACATGCATTATTTACCATGCCTGCCTTATAGAAAAGTTTTATAAGTGAGTAGTTGTTTTGAAGTACTTCATTCTCTTCTCAGAGCAATTTTAGGAATGAATGCCTTCATCAACAACCATGACTTCAGAAAACACTATTCCATTGAGCACAAATTGCTGAAGATAGTGATGGGGAGGTATTTATGAATCACAAGATTGACTACAGATTTCTATATACTTCTTATTTGCAGGATGAACACAGACTGCAGTCTTCCTATGCTTAATTTTCCAACTGTTTAAAAGCTATTTGAGGGATCTCATTGCCAGATTAAATAGGCATTTCTTTATTTTTATAGCTATATGCAAATGCTAACAATCAAATACTGTATCCAACAAGTTCCAAAGGAGATACTATAACTGTCAGTAACTAGAAACTCGCTGGTTATGCCAAAACCTGGAAGCAGAAGAAGGAACAAAGACAAATTACTTCACAAGTTACAAAATGGAAGGGGAAAAGGAGATGTGCTTGGATCCCATAGTATATGCAAATTAACATGCTATAGAGGTAAATATCTTTCTGCGCAAAAAAACCCCAAAACTATATGAAGTTCCCAGCAAGTGACAAAGAGCAGAATGGCAGGTCTTATGAGCTCCTGGCACGTGAACAATATACCGCAACCATTCTTCTATATAGATTCAACGGTTTCTAAGTAAGGCCTTCGAAAGTGAGCAGTTCATGTTAAAATCCAGATCCCAAACACTGGAATAACACAAAGGTATGTATTTAATTCAGTAGCCTCTCACTAGGGAAAAAATACCTCAATGCAGTTAAGATCATGTGTTAAAGCCTCTCTGGTTACGATTTGCAAAGTATGCAACATATACATGTGCAACATGCACAAACTTGCTACTGATGGCAACAGATATCAGCTAATGTTGTAACAAAATTAGACTTATTTAGAAAAACATATTAAAAGATGAAAAAGACTTGATTGCTAAAGTTGCTCAGAACTAATTATCAAAATATGTTTCCCTATGAAGTAGTTACTGCAGAGAAGTATTAGCCAAATCTTCCCCCTGGAGCTCCACCTACTGACATCAAAAAAAGCTGCCACATGTTTCTCTGCAGAAGTAAGATCCATAGCCCTAATATTAGGGGCCAAAGTTGGCAGTGAATGACATTCTCTGCACTGATATTAAAAGTGCTTCCTCCATTGTAAGAAGTAGCAAGCATAACATAACGGTATTTACCTTCCAGGGATTCAATTCCAGTTGCTTGAGCCAACAGGTCTTCATGTCTTGCAACAACCTTAAAAAAAAAAAAAAAAAAAGAGTAGAGAAATCAACACAGAAAAATGGGGATGTGTGTCTGAAAGGAATAATAATATATCATCATCATTCCTACATTAGGCAGACACAGGAAAAAGCAGCCACACCTTAAAAGCGTTTTCAGAACACATTTTAATTCACAAAAGCAGCAAGCTTAGAATGAGAAGAAGGCCAGTAACTGCAGCACAGCTGACATCTTAATTAAAGCCAGCAGAGCAACCACATTTCAGCACACCATATAAAATACTTGTAAAAGTAACCTTATTAATCACACAGGAATAATATATATTCACATTTTAAATACTTTATTTTCTATTTATGACATTTAGAAACTAGTTCCCAAAGAATTTACCAGCCGGGGCAGGGAGGATGCAAATTCTGAAACTACACACAAACTTAGCATATATTCTCATTGCAAGATCCACTGTGGATTTGTGCCATCTGCGTAGATTTTACCAAAGAGCCTTTTACTGTCCAAACTCAAAAACCTTTCTGAAGGTGTGGATGTGTGTTAACATAGGTTATATTTGCCCAGCCTTAGCACCTAGGCTACTCTCCAGCACAGAATGAAAGGGTGCAAGTTAAATCACTCCCTATCTTCTCACAATTGTCATCCCAAAACACAGGCTAGTATTTCTCACAGCTGACATGATCATTCGAAAGGAGTCAGGGAACATCCTTACAAGGAAGAGTGGAACCTCCATGTATACAGAGATTGGCTGCAGAAACAGAAAACAAAGCAGTATATGGCTTCTTGGGAGGAGTATTAAGAACAGGCTTGACTGAGTTAAGTATCAGATTCACTGCTACTTCTGCTGCAAGTTGCACCTTTAGTTACTGCTTGCAGAGTACACTGGGCAATTTCAGAAGCAACAAGATCGTAAGATTACCAAGCTTTTGACTAGTTTATATCAATCACCCCAGAATAACAGGTATGCTTTAAACTTACTTGTAAATGAAGCTCTTTATCCAACTGACTAATACCTTGGGCAAGTTTTGCTAGTTGCTCAGCTATCACAGCCTGATGAATAGACTGGGAAGTGTAAGCTTTCACATCAAAGTCTTCTCTGAAGAAATCTGCGTAACATTCTGAAAAAGATTTAGATTTTATCTTTATGTTTCAGAACCATTAAATAATATTTATGGACCTAAAGCATACAGTTCTCTGACCTTTAATTTCTCCAGATGTAACAGCATATGCTCTCTGCATCACATAATACAAAGGAGACACCGACTTGAGAAGAGACCACAATCAAGAAAAACAGTTTGGAGCTGATGACCGGGGGTGAGTTGTAAATGTTGTGAGAGACACACGTGCCTTTACTCCCCACAGCCTTTTCTTGAGCAGAATACACTAAAAAGTATCGATACCTTCTGCAAACTTTACAGTGTAACCAGGGTGAGGCTGTTGTGGTTGTACCTATAATCAAACACACACCATTCGCCTTCAAATCGCTGAGTTTCAGTGGTACGAGACACTGCTTCATGAAATCACACCAGACTCTTACAACGCTACTAGTTTATAAAGTATTAAATTAAGAACTGATACTGCAACGACGGTTTTGGATCAAGCAAGACCCGAGTTTCCAGATTCCAGCATAGTAATATTACCAAGCACCTTCGCCTCTCCTTTCAGGGCACTTCTTTTCCCCCTTTAGGAGCAAGCGACCACAGGTGGGCACGCCACCTCGCAGAGCCGCGCCATGATGACCCCTCCGCCAGCAGCGGGAGGGCTCCTCCCCGAGGAGGGGGACGCTGAGCAGGCGCGGAAGCACTCCCCGCCGCCGAAACTTTCCGTGACTTGACAGTATGGGGGTTTACCGCCCCCCTCGCCCCGTGCCGCAGCATCGGCGCCTCTCCTCCGGCTCTGCCCGCCCAGCCCAACACCGCCCTCAGGAAGG